GACAAACAGGGGTCTATTTTCCTTCCTGATGACCAAGCTGTCCTGAAGCTCCTTGTAAGAAATGCAGTGAGGCTTAGCCTCCCACAACCAGTCTTAAGTGCGGTGATGGTGCTGTGGGAAAAATATCTTGGATGGATCCCCAGAGTGCCCCTGTCCAGGTCACAGTCCCTCAAAAGCTTGGAAAAACAAGGGGTCAGCAGGTCAGTGTCCTTCCATCAGGGAACCCCAAAACCAAAGACCTTGGAGCTCAGACAATAGTGAGAAGAGCAGAAAAAGTTCATCATGGAGGCAAGAGGCATCTGAATGGGCCCTGATGGCCAACTCAGCCCCCAGGTTGGGTTCAAACCCCACTGGGAGGGGGTAAATTACAGAGAATAACCCTGGGCTTACCCTGGACTGTTCTCTGGAGTCAAATGCTACTCTCAGGTCAGACATTAAGCTTCCTGTTACCTCTACACTGGCCACTAGATTCCCTAGATATCAAGGAGCAGACACAGTCCCAACAAGCAGGGATTATGTTTCCTGATGCAAGTAGAAAAGAGGCCACATAAAGCACCACACCTTAAAAGCCCAAGAAGTGGGTCATGGACCTCCAGACACAACCCTCCAGTCAACAGTTCCCACCATCTCCTGGGAAAACCTGGCCCATGAGTGAAAGTGAAACCAGATGCACACCTTGATGGTGAAGGTCCTGATGGCGCTGCTGAAGCAGTAAAGAAGGAAGGCATGGACATCACCAAGATCAGAAAGGATCATCACAGGAGCTGCAAAGCAGGAGCTTCGAGGTCTTGTTGGCAACTAGGGCCCCAGGAGCAAGCAGAAACAGAAGTTGATTGCTGGGGAGGTGGAGATGGTGCTGATTCCCAAGAGCATGCCTCTAGGACTTCCAAGGGGAAATAAAAAAAGAGTGCAAGTGGCAATGGCAAAGAAAAAAGGAAAGGAGGCTCCTGACTCCCAAGGATCCAAGGACAAGCCACAGGGGATTTGGGATGGTGAAGATCAAGGATGGAGATCAAAGCAACTTGCAAACAAGGAGGAGCAATCTAAGAAGGAAAGACAAAGGACAGGACAAAATGGAAATGAAGAAAGCAAAATAAAACCCTTATCCAAAGACCCTAAGTCATCATCCAGAATAAGGAGATGGCAGACAAGTAGGTGTTGTGAGGGGTCTGTGCCATAGGTGCACAACCAAGTGGTGACCATCGTCATGTCTATGAGCTGGAACTACATTTTTAAAATTCTGTGTCTCATAGCAAAGTCTGGCCAGCCTCAAGGGCTCCATGCTGGGCAAGCTAGTGAGTTTTACAGGAAGTTGGTCCAATGAAGAAGCATGCTCTGATCCCTTAATTTTACTTTTCCTAACACAGGGTGTTTTGTATAGATGTACTCAGTGTGCGAGTGTGTGTGTGTGTGTGTGTGTGTGTGTTTACTCATTAAAGCCAACATGCCCAATGACCTCAGGACTTCCCATCACCCTGCTCTGTAGAAACAGCAAAACGAGCCTGAAGCTCATCCTGCTCTACTTTGTCTCTGACTGATCCTCAGGCTTTCTCCTTTTTTCAGTTTTATGTTGCTCTTTTTAAGAATTCGGAAAAATCATTAAAAGAAAAAATCATTACTTAACTTGTTTTACTGAACATTAGAGCTCAAAAACACATCACACTGTAAAGGATCAGTTGCTTGCCCTCATGATCATGTGGCTGATGATGGGGACTTGCTGCCACTGCCCAGAATTGCCAGAGAGAGCGTCATAGCATAGATTACAAGCCTAAGGAAAAAATCACAATTAAAACTGTAAATATGTCTTCTATTAAATATGTATCATTTTTGCACCATCAAAAGTGGAAAATACCTAACTGAACCCTCATTAGATAGCAACCATCTATATTACATTTTTCATCTCTTTCCAAACTTCTTTTTCTTTCTTTCTTTTTATTTGACAGGTAGAGTTATAGACAGAGAGAAAGGTCTTCCCTCTTCTGGTTCACTCCCCAAATGGCCCCCATGGCCGGAGCTGCACCGATCCAAAGCCAGGAGCCAGGTGCTCCCTCCTGGTCTCCCATGCAGGTGCAGGGGCCCAAGCACTTGGGCCATCCTCCACTACCCTCCTGGGCCACAGTAGAGAGCTGGACTGGAAGAGGAGCAACCTCTTCCAGTCTAGAACTGGGACTAGAACCTGGTGCCCATATGGGATGCCGGTGCCACAGGCGGAGGATCAACCAAGTGATCCATAGTGCCAGCCCCCCAAACTTCTTTTTCTAAAGACTTATTTATTTATTTGAAAGTCAGTTACACCAGGAGTGGAGGGAGCTATCTTTCCTCTGCTGGTTCACTCCCCAGAAGGCTGCAATGGTCAGCACTGGGCCATGAAAAATGTGTATTATACAAAAAAAGTATACATTGATTTCAGGTTTTTGCACAAAGATGATCTATTTGCAGGAACTCCAACATTTTACAGACGAGTAAACTGTAATTGATGTACTGTGATTATCTGGAAATATAGATATAAAGAATTATTCTCTAATGGATGAAGCACTAATTTACTAATCAGGACCAATGTGTATCAGGCACAGGAATGGAACTACTTGTAACCCGTAGGCACATGGGAGTGGAAACACTGAGAGGTGGACAGGGTCTGCACATACAAGGTTTGGAAAGAGAGGAGGGGATCAATAGGTTGTAGATAAATCCGTGCTAGAGAAAATTATAGCCTGATTATATTAGAATGAAACACTAAAATCAATCATCACAACTCCTTCTGAACAATTGAAAAAGAGGAGGGGCAGGCACTGTGGTGCAGCAGGTTAATCCTCCACCTGCAGCACCGGCATACCCTAAGGGCACCAGTTCTAGTCCTGGCTGCTCCTCTTCCAATACAGCTCTCTGCTATGGGTTGGGATAGCAGTAGAAGATGGCCCAAATGCTTGAGGCCCTGCACCCGCGTGGGAGATCTGGAAGAAGTTCCTGGTTCCTGGCTTCAGATTGGCACAGACCTGGCTATTGTGGCCATTTGGAGAGTGAACCAATGGAAGGAAGACCCTTCTCTCTGCCTCTCTCTCACTGTCTGAAACTCTACCTCTCAAATAAATAAATAAAATCTTAAAAAAAGAAAAACAGGAAAGTATATAAAATAAAAGCAAACAAAATGTTATAATATATATAATTTTTTTTTACTCTTCTTAATAGTCATAAGATTAACCCTACAGTAAGTAAAGAGTTTAACAAATAGTATGAGGAAAAAATGTTCCTCAACAGTAGAGACATTTTAGATGCTCTATTATTTACCACAAATTAGGTAAAATATATGATATTTGTCTTTTGGGGGCTGGCTTATTTCACATTGAGATGACGATTTCTAGTTGCATCCATTTTTTTTTGCAATAGACAGAATTTCATTATTTTTACTGTGAGTAGTATTCCATAGTATATTTATGTCATAATATGAAATGATATTTAAAAAGTACCACAAAGGATATACACATTATTGTTAACAAAATTAATAAACTATGAGTAAAACTAATTAAGGTAACATAGGGAAGAGTAACACTAATATCCAATTTCAGGTATTAAAACAATTCTTTACAGAGAATATAGCATTGTCAAGATGCTAGAAAAAATTTGTAAAACTCTTATGAGTACTAATTTTACTAGAGATAAAAATCCACAACACTTTGAAAATCAAATTCCCAAAACACAAATATGAATTTCCAAAATCCGATATAACAAATGTAAAATAGGAAGACTCCAAATATGTTTCCAAAATCCGATATAACAAATGTAAAATAGGAAGACTCAAAATTAAACCAAGAAAGTCGAATCATAATTTGAAGACCACCAACCAATAAAAGTTACAGGAGTGAAACTTAAATTATAGAAAAAAAAATTCCAAACAATTTAAGGAATAAAAATCCATGCCTATATTTCTCAGATGTACCAACGTATAAATAAGCAGAGAATATTTTCAAATTTCTTTTAGAAAGCCAGCATTACATTGATAATGATGCAAGTTGACCAGAACCTGAAATATGAATTAAGTATAAGTCTCTCTTTCTTAAGCAGATGCATATATCCTTAGTATTTTTATCATAGATAAAATCATATATGAAAATATAATGAATAACAAGGGCCACATAAGAAAAAATGCAAAAGGTGGTTAACATTTCTAAACAAGCAATGTATATTTTCCAGGTAGGTGAAAAACTTGAGAGAAACACATGACCATTTAAATGAAATGTTAAGAAGAATTTAGAAATTAGCATGTAATTAAAAATCTGCTAGCCGCATAGTAAAAACTAAGTGGCTTTCATATTTGGATTAATATTGTTTAAAAAGATTCTATAACAAACAACACAATTAACACGGGATCATTGATAGCTTTTTCCCTGTAAGTAAACCTAGATCAGGATGCCTCCACTGTTTCCAACTTCTTACTGGGGGAGTAGTCTAGGGAAGGGGAAAGAGCAAAAAGAAAAATAAGGAGTAAAGATCAATTTCTAAGCAATAAATTGCCAATATATTGGAGATATTTATTTAGAGAGAATCTATAAAATCTAAAAATAAAGACAAATGAAAAATGATTTTAATGAGATTGTGAGAAAGATCAATATTTTAAAAATCTACTAGATTACCATGTACCAGCAAAAAACAAATAAAATATATTAAAGGTCAATAGGCAGAGTGGAAAATAAATATTGACAGAAGAAAAGGAAAAAAGGATTAAATCATGTGATGTCTTTAAACATTCTTCAAGTCAACATTAAAAAGTAATACAAAAGACCCAACAGAAAAATGAACAGATATATGAGAAAAAAGAAAGGCCCAGAAGCTGATAAACAGACCTGAAGTGTGTTATCACAAGCTCCAGGCAGGACCCGCCAGGGAGAAGGACAGGGCGACATTCGGCGACCCTAGTGAGTAGCAGGAGCACAGAGGTGAGAGGCCCTCCTGCTGATCCCACCCAGCACAACCTGAGGTTCCAGGTCCATGCTATGGGGGAATGCTGATCTGCTGCATCTTCTGTGAAGCTGCTTGTGCTGAAGGCCATGCAAACTGTCCGTTCAGGCATGGTGACGTCCACGAAAAGTCATCCCGCGGGGTCTTGATGTCACAATCTTTCAGTTATGAGGTGGAGCATGGAGAGGGAGAGGTCTCTGCTGCCGCAAGGCTTCCGAGGCTCGCAAGGGAGATCGGGCTCTGCTGCTCTCTACCTTTGCTCAACCGAGAGGCTGGACATCTAGGAATACGAGAGCCGACATGGTGAGTGTGTGGACCGCAGTGTGCAGAGGGGGAAGGCGGAGCCGAAGGTCAGGAGGGTAAGTGCCTCCAGAATCTGTGGGCGCCATAATGGTTCTGGTACAGGGCTTCTCTCAGTACCCTTGGATCCATTGGTTGGGGGCTGGACCAGCATCCGCTACTCACGATGCCCAGCTCCTTCCCTGCTAAGGAGACTTCTCAGCCCCCAGAGCCATAGATGAGTAGCTAGCTGTGTGGCCACCACTATGTGTCACCCCAGATGTTGCTGTGAGGGCTGGCTGCTCACTAGGGAGAATGCGGGCTCTGGGTATGGGGTTCATGTGGAGCAGGAACTGTCATTAATGTGGCCCTAGGTTCCTCCTCCTTTCCCCATGGGGACCTGGTTCCTCCGAGTTTTCTAAACACGTGGGCTGCAGGGTCTCTTCCAAGATGCTGACCTCTTCGCGTAGCTTTTTCTAGGGGGTATCACTTTATTTCTGTTGACAATAACACAGCAACATAGATTGGGGAAGGAAACAACAAAAGTTTTATTTGGCCCGGAGTTTTTATCCAGGTTTTAGAGGGGCAGGAGGACCTTGTAATTTGGGAATGCATATCGTCTTAACCCTTACAAGCTCCCCTGACAGGCTGCCATCTGTATTGTCACTTTCAGAATAGAAGTTTTGGCTACTCAAATTTATTTGGGTTTTTATTTTAATAAAGGATTCAGTTTCTTTTTGCTTGTTTTAATTTTTTCAAGATTGACAGTATGATTGACAAAATTTGTGTATACTCAAGGTATGCAACCTGACGTTTTGATATGTTAGGGGACTTTTAAAAGTTATGGACAATTTACATGATCTTTAATTACATTTTTTCATAAACTTTTTGGAGTCCTCTTGTACATATACATTATGAAATGATTAGCAATTAACAATCTAACATATCCATCACCTTACATTGCTGTGTTTTTAAAAGAATACCTAAGACATTTGCAAGTAGTGAGTATATAACAGCATAATCATCTAGTTACTGTGTTGAATATTAAGATCTGGAGTTAATTTTATCTCATAGCTGCAAATGTGTGTTCAGCTAGCATTTTCCCATTTCCTTCACTCTCAGCCTCCACAACCACCATTCTGTTTTGTGATTGTGACTTTCTTATATTCCACATATGAGTGAGATTGTGTGGCATTTATCTTTCTGTGCCTTATTTCAAATAGCCTAATATCCACATTAACATTTTTGGATCCGTATTTTGGCAAAATGGCAGGATTTCCTTTTAAGATTGACTGTGATTCCTGTGTGTGTTTGTGTGTGTGTGTGTGTCACATTTTCTTTATTCATCTGTTGACAATGTTGTTGTTTCTATATCTTGTTCTTGTAGATAATGCTGACATGAATGTGTAGATAGAGGTGTCTATTTGAGATACTGATTTGATTTCCTTTGGATACATATGCAGTAGTGAGGTTGCTTTGTCATATGTTCTATATTTAATCGTGATTGAAGACCTACATAGTGTTTTCTGTATTGATGTAGCAATTTACATTCCTGCCAACAATTTATTCCCTTTTTTCCACATCCAACAACCCTTTTTACCACATCTGATCCAATGTTATCTTTATCTTTGGATAATAGTCATTTTAGCATATATGAGGTGATAACCATTATGGTCTTGATCAGCATTGTAGTCTTGATTAGCAGTTGTTGAGCCCCTTTTCAGTTATCTGTTGACTACTTGTGTATCTTCAGCAGAAAAACTGAACAATATTTGTGTGTTTTTTATTGTAATATTTGCTTTTGAGTTGCCTGTGTCCTTGCTTTATCTGTTCAGTTTTTCCTTTAGTATGCAGAATGTTTTTTTAGTTTTTTTGTAGTCTAATCTTTGCTTTTGTCACCTGTGCTTTTAGTGTCACACCTAAACAGTCATTGTTGAGAATAATGTCAATGAATTTGCTTGCATTTGTAAGGAGTTTTAAATTCTCAGGTCTTCTTTGTAAGCCTTCAATTCATTTCAAATTGAAATTCATGGCTGGTGTAATATAATAACATCATATATCAATTTTTGTCATGTGGATGTCCAATTTGCCTCCACTTCAGATGTGGTCACTGAGTACTGAATGGACATTTGGTAACTGTGGTGTCACTTGCTGGACCCAACACCCACCATGATGTGCCTCTAGCTCGGCAGGAAGCAGGCAGAAACTGTCAGAGTCCAGTTTTTCCCTAATCTTCTTTGTCCCCCAGACCCATTCTGCTGTGCTCTACAGCTCTTCCCTGTTTACATGAAGAGACCTCAGAAGTAAGCATGCACAGAGAAACATGTGAAGCAGTGTGGAATGTTGTGGAGAAGCAGAGACTATCCAGTAAAGGGGCTAGACCCATAAGGCTCTGTCCCCTTTCTCTGAAAGTCTTGGATATATGAAATCACTTCAGAAATTCATGGAGGGATCCACATTTGGCATTGTGTTACAACCCTGCTTAGTATGCCCACATCGCATATTGGAGTGTTTCTGTTAATGTGCACTTTTAGAAGCAGTGATGGCTGAAGTATGTGGGTCCCTGTAACCCACATGAGAGACTCATATCATCTGGGACTCACAGCTGATGGAGTCCTCAGTGCAGAGTGGTTGGACATAAGGTATTATTTTGCTGCAGTGTGTATTTGTGAACATAGCAAATTCCATCATGAACTTCTTTATGTCAAACAATGATGCCTAAGTAGAGGCATCTAGGCATTGTTCAATTAGTCTATGCAGCTGCCATCCCCACGGGAAAGGGGCACAACTGGAATAGTCGCAGTATTACCACATGGATGCAGGAGGTTTTTTAAACTTTGAAAATTCATTTTATTCACATTAAAGGCACAAAGATCTCTCATCCACTCTTCTTTCTCCAACTGTTCACAGTAGCTGTGACTGAGTGAGGTTGTGATGTGAAAACATCAGGTTTTGTGACATGGAGATCCCACAACAGTATGGATGACAGGAACCTAAGTAATTTGAGCTATCATCTGCTGCCTCCTAAGGTACACTTTAGTAGGAAGCTGGATTGGAAGTGGAGTGGGTCTCAAACCCACACACTCTAATATAGGATGTGGGTCTCCAAAGAGCCATCTTACATGCTGTTTCCCAATGCTTGGCCCTCTATTATTTTAAGAGGACTTCTACTGCAGGCCAAAACAACTCTCTTGGCCCTGATGGCCATAGTCCCTGAAGTTAAGCTGTGCAGACCCTTAACACCCCAGAAAATACACAAACACAACCACCCAATGGAGTGTTCACAACAGCAGCTTTGTACTGTGCTTTCTTGCCACCCAAAACTATGTAGCTAGCATTGTGCCATCAGGAGCTGTTCTCCCTGATATCTCTTCATCCATTTTTCCATATGTTGGTACCCAATCTGGCCATCCACATCAAAGTGATCACTACTGGATGCTGTTCTGAAGTGGGATCACAAGTTGGCTCATTTCAGGTAAACCTCATGTGTTGCTCCAGACACTCCTTGGCACTAATGTGGCTCCCCTGGCACAGAAGTTCATGCACCCCACAGGCACCCCTGTGGTGACAGTCACCCATTTACTGGGCTCATAGCCTAGATAATTGTGACCTTATTGGGCACTGAATCAGGCATCATTTCATCAGTGTGGTGATCCAACCTTGCTGGGTCATTGGCAAAGAGGGTGGCAAGCCCTTAGGATACTTACATGGTCAACATATTAAGACAGGACTCTTCCTTTTACTATGAACCCCAGTGTTGCTCCTCCCCACCTCTCATTTACCATTTCTTATTCTTGCTTGGCATGGATAGTTGGAACATCTCCACCAAGCCTAATGCTTTGTACTGATGGGATATGCCCACTAGGTGCCTGCACAGTTCTTCAAGCCCCTCTACAGCATCAAACCTCAAGCAGGCCATGATAGGAATTGCCTCAGTTAATCACCACACATTGGAAGCATGTGTTTTGAAATGTGTCTCTGTAACTCATCACTCTTGCCCTTTGTCAAGGCTGGAGAAAAGGAGGCACACTGCTGATTACCACAACCTCAGCAAGGTCATGCCTCCTTTTACCAGACATTGTCAGTATCTTCCAAGATATTCATATGCCTATGCCTTAAGTTTGCTATTACTGATGTGAAATCCATGTCTTTTTTGGTGTCTATAACAGGCTTCATTCCCTTTTACATTTGGAGACCAAGATACAGCTTTATGAAGCTTCTAAGGCATGACTTAGTAGTCTACCTTCTCTCCCTCCTCTGTGTATGACCTTTCTTCTCTCCCTCTTGCTTTCAGAGAGAATGAGGAATAATGGAAACTTTAGAGACAGGCGTAAGAACTCCAATATTGACCTTATTATCAATTCACTGTATGAATTATATGTTTGTTATGTAAACTTTAAACTTTCTAAAGTCATTTGTCACATCTGTAAAATAGCCATGATAAAATTATTTTTCATAAATTTGTTGTGAGAATACTCTAATAAAATTTGTGCTGTGGCTTGCTGCCAGCATGAGTTTATCAGCAAAAATATACTGTCCTTATTTTGCCACCTGCCAGTAGTGTTAGCTCTTGATGGTCTTCCTCTAAGTCCCCTCCTAGATATTATCTCCATGTCACTCATGGTTCTGTTCTCCTGAGTGGCTACTATTCCTAAAGACTAGTTGAAGTTCAAAGTCTTACCTTTATCTCAAATTAGTGATTTATCTCTTTTTCTGAAGGGGCATTGCAACCTCAGATTTTCTTGTGAGTTCAATTGAGGCTTTTGTTGTGACTGCATCATGGCTCAGCTTCTCATTTGCTGATCTTGCTTTTTGCTCCAACCAGCCTTTTCCAATAAATCTCCTGAAAATTGCTGTGTCTTTCTCATCCAAGAAAAGATGGCTAAAATGATCCCAAACTCATACTAGCTACCGAATAAATTGTTGTTATTCCTTTCTTTATTTTTTTGAAATTCAGAGGAGAGGCACACACACACACACACAGAGAGAGAGAGAGAGAGAGAGAGAGAGAGGAAGAGTGAGAATTTATAATCTAAATGAGACATTAATGCAGCAGAGGTTAAGACCTTATTAACCTGCAGAAAGTTAATGACTTTTTAAATGTATTTTGTAAGATTCATTTATTTGAAAGTCAGAGTTACAGAGAGGGAGAGGCAGGGTGGGGGGAGGAGAGAGAGGTCTTCCATCCTATGGTTCACTCCCCAATAGCCACAATGGCTAGAGTTGCACCCACCTGAAGCCAAGAGCCAGGAACTTCATCCCTGTCTTCCACATGAGTGCAGGGGCCCAATCTTGAGCCATCTTCTACTGCTTTCCCAGGCCATAACAGAGAGCTGGATTGGAAGTGGACCAGCTGGGACTTGAATTGATTCCCATATGGGATGCCAGCACTGCAGACAGGGGTTTTACCCTCTATGCCACAGTGCTGGCCCCAGTCAATGACTCTTACATCTAAGTTAATAATTAGGCATTTCTTTCCTATTATAAGTCCCAGTTTCTTATAAACATGTTGGATTTAAATTTTTCTCTTTTCTGGTTACTTTCTTAATGCATTAAATAAAATTTTGTCAAATGCTCACTATTGTGTGAGAATGGTGTTTTCAACGGTGGTTCTGCATGAGAAAGTGCAGTAAATATTGGTTTTTGAAGGGCAGCATTGTGATGGGATGGTTCCCAAAGTTTCATGGAGGCAATTGCAATAAAGAAGTTGACACTCTGAGGTTAGCCAAGCTTTAAGATCCTAAGTGTAAACTTAAAGTCCAAACTATTAGTCAAAATTATGCTCAATTTTGGTGTATTTGATAGGGTTCCCTTCACAAAATTCCACAAACTGAGTGGCTTAAAACACAGAAAGATATTGTCTCACAGTTCTGGAGCCTTGAAGTCTGAGATGAATGTGTCTGTAGGGCAAGCTCCTATGAAGGCTATAGGTGAACTGGATCCACATTTCTCCCTTGCAGCCTGTGGCTTTCTGGCAGCCTTGGGCTTGTATTCTCCTTCATATAGCTTTCTCCCTATACATGTGTCTGCATCCAGATTTTCCCCTTTTTTAAAGATTCCAATTTTACTGGATCATGAGCCCATCCTGATGACCTTGTTTTGACTTGACTATTTCTGCAAAGATTTTTTTTTAAAGATTTTATTTATTTATAAGAGAGAGAGTCACAGTGAGAGGGAGAGACAGAGAGAAAGGTCTTCCATCCACTGGTTCACTCCCAAATGGCTGCAGTGGCCAGAGATCCAAAGTCAGGAGCCATTTCTTCCATGTCTCTCATGGGGGTACATGGGCCCAAGCATTTGGGCCATCTTCTACTGCTTTCCCAGACCATAGCAGAGAGCACGATCAGAAGAGGAACAGGTGGGATTAGAACCAGCACTCATATGGGATGCTGGCACTGCAAGCAGAGGATTAACCTATTGTGCCACAGCTCCACCCCATTTATTTATTTATTGCAAAGATTTTATCTCAAATAAGGTAACATTGTCAGGTCCAGTTTTTTGTTATGGGGGGGACACAATTTAACCTGTAACATTTTATTACTTCCTTTCCATTTCCTAAGGGTGACTTTTTCTCACAAATAACACCTTAATGAACAGAATTTCATTAACTCATGAGGCACTTTCAGGTGAGAAACAGCACTTTGGGTTTTTTTGTTTGTTTGTTTGTTTGTTTGTTTTTATAAAACCCACAGTAATTCAAACTTCTTACTTTGGGCTATAGTTTTTTTTTAGTTCTTTTTTTTTTAACTTTTATTTAATGAATATAAATTTCCAAAGTACAGCTTATGGATTACAATGGCTTCCCCCCATAACATCCCTCCCACCCACAACCCTCCCCTTTCCCACTCCCTCTCCCCTTCCATTCACATCAAGATTCATTTTCAATTCTCTTTATATACAGAAGATCAGTTTAGCATATACTGAGTAAATATTTCAACAGTTTGCACCCACACAGACACACAAAGTGAAAAATACTGTTTGAGTACTAGTTATAGCATGAAATCACAATGTACAGTACATTAAGGACAGAGATCCTACATGAGGAGTAAGTGCACAGTGACTCCTGTTGTTTTAAAATGAAGTTCATTGCTTCACCTCACACAAGCCACATTCCAACCTGAATCTATGGATGTGGTTATGATGAATTACATTTGGGAACTAAATCCTGTCTACCAGATGAGTTCAAAAGTTATTAGGGTCATTTGGCAATCAGTCTCTTATTAAAAAAAAACATTTTATCTATTGAAAGAGTTACAGAGAGAGGTATAGACAAAGAGATAGAGAGGTCTTCCATCCACTGATTCACTTCCCAGGTGGCTGTAATGGCCAGAGCTGCACTGACCCAAAGCCAGGAGCCAGAATCCTCCTCCAGGTCTCCCACGTGGGTGCAGGGGCTCAAGGACTTGGGCCATCTTCCACTGCTTTCCCAGACCATAGCAGAGAGCTGGATTAGAAGAGGAGCAGCTGAGACTCGAACTGGTGCCCATATGGGATGCTGGCGCTTCAGGCCAGGGTTTTAACCCATTGTGCCACAGCACCAGCCCCCACTTTTAAGATTAGTTATATGAGAGGCAGAGCTACAGATATGGGGAGAGACAGAAAGAGAGAGGTCTTCTATCCGCTGGCTCCCCAAATGGCCATAACAGCAGGAGCTGAGTCAATCCAAAGCCAGGAGCCAGGAACTTTTTCCCAGTCTCCCACCTGGGTGCAGGGTCCCAAGCACTTGGGCCAACTACCACTGCCTTCTCAGGCCAAAATCAGAGAGCTAAGTTAGAAGAGAAGCAGTTAGAACTTGAACTGGTGCCCGTATGGGATGCTGGCACTGCGGGTGAATGCTTAACCTATTACCTCACAGCCCTGGCTCCAACCAGTCCATTTTAACAGTTTAAACAAATCATTTTCAGATTGCATTGCTTTGCATGAATGTGATAAAATAGTTCCAATGGCATTGGGTTAGATGTTTAACATGTTGGTAACTTTGGAGAGTGTGCAGTGCCTTCTAATTTTGTATTATGAAGGAAGGCAAGTTGGGAGTGAGAACCATGGCATTATGTAGTGAGTAGAACACAACTTTTCTGTTTGGTTCACCCCTTTGAACAGCCTGACATGCAATAGAAACTGCTCAAATGTTTGTTGAATGAGTAGAAATATCCAAGGAACTTTGAAGATATGAGAAAAAAACCCAAAAAACATTTTTTCAAAGATTTACTGTATACACAGCTTTGGCTGCATGCTGTGAGAGCCAATGCTGTGTCTGAGAATACTGATAGCTGTAGCAATTTATTATGCTTCCTATGAATCAAGCATTCTACACACATTTGTTTTTCAGTCTCTCTGCTACTGTGTGATTTGGACACTGTGGTTTTATTTTATCTACAAGGAACCTGAGAATAAAAGAGGCCAAGCAGCTTGACAACACAAAGTAAGTTGTACCTTTATCCCCTGTACTATACGACCTGCTTGGCTTGTAAAAGTGTGCTTTCTTGTGGGAAGGAAACATAATTAGAACAATGATCATGTAAAAGGTTAATTGTATAGTATGTTTCATTTACTATGTATTTGTATTCTACCAGCATTTCCTAAAGTGTACAATTTTGTCATGGGTAAGTATGTATACTCTGGAGTTAGATGTCTGGATTTCACCCATTCCTTTGTGCATAAACTTGGACATGTAGATATGAATTAAAAATTTTTTTGCAACTTCTTATAAAGTGTGGATGATAAAGGCACCTACTTCCTTGTTTCGAGGGATACATAACTTAGAATAATAATTCAGTGTGTAGTAAGCATTGCATCTCATCAGGTTAAGCTGTGGACTGGGATGCTCCCATCACATATTGGAGTGCTGATTTGAGCCCCAGCAACCACCATCCAGCTTGCTACGAATGTACTTGAGAAGGCAGTAGAAGATGGCCCAAGGACTTAAGTCCCTGCCCCACCTGTGGGATGCTTAGATGGAGTTTCTGGCTCCTGACTTTGGCTTGATTCAATCTTAAATGTGGACATTTGAGGAGTGAACCAGTGGTTGGAAGATAAATCCCTCTGTTTTCCCCCCAACTTCTCCCCCATCTCTATTGCCCTCCCTCTTTATCTTTTACTTTGCATTTCAAATAAATAAAAACAAAATGATTCAGTGTCTGACAAACTGGTTCTCATACAATGTAAGGTTCACAAAGCCACTGATTTGTATCAGTTTTATTCATCTATCCTACACATCTCAAATGATGCTTTAAAATAGGTAAACAGTAAATGTTGACTGAATGAATATCTTTTAATATATAAATAATTAGGTCCAGTAACATTAGAAGACATGGTGAACTAGTCAGATGCTTGCTTATCAATGTGGGACAGGGGTTTCCAGTCCAGGATAAACTGTGTAGATATCAGGAAGGCTTTTAAATGAGATGGTTTTCATGCTCTACCATGGGCAAAGCTAAATTCTATTGCTGGAGAATCATTGTGAAAGAACTGAATGTAGAGGAATCTAGGCACATAATGTTGAAGATACAATATCAAAGTAATTTTTTTCAGTGATTTCTTCTTAGGAAACTAAACATGACCTTTGTTTCAATAGTAATGACATTCTTGAGAACATTGATATACATTGAAATTACGAAAAATACTTTGAAATCATCTGTAATATGAAGTAGGGTTGAGGCTACCACAGGTAGAATTTGTTCTCAACATAAATATCTGGGGGCTGGTGCTGTGGTGTAGTGGGTTAAGCCTTCACCTGCAGTGCTGTCATCCCTTGTTGGCACTGGCTCAAGTCTCTGCTGCTTCACTTCTGATCCAGCTCTCTGCTATGGCCTGGGAAAGCAGTAGAAGATAGCTCAAGTCCTTGGGCCTCTACACCCATGTAGTAGATCTGGAAGAAGCTCCAGGCTTCTGGCTTTGGATCAGCACAGCTCTGGCCATTTCAGCCAATTAGGGAGTGAACCAGCAGATGGAAGACCTCTCTCTCTCTCTCTCTCTCTCTCTCTCTGCCTCTCCTTCTTTCTGTGTGTAACTCTGACTTTCAAATAAGTAAATATATCTTAACAACTATAAAAATATCTGGCAGAACATTTGGACTCTCAGACTTGGGACAATGTTTTATCTTGTGGACTATCCTTAGTGATGCTGGCAATTGTCTAGGTCAACTGAGAAGCCCTGAGGGCAGTTTGAATATAAACAGACTCAGTGCTTATGTCATATGGGAAAAACACACCCAAAATCCAAGGTGCTTAAGATCTCTCTTGAGGCACATGGGGCATTAAACTAAGATGGAGTCATATTTTATAATGTGTCAGTCTGCAGGAGATGTCCTGGTTCAGGGACTGATTGCTTCAGAAGGAACTAGCAAGAAGGGGATCAATGAATATGGGGCCACTTAAATCTGAAGGCAGAGGGGAACCAGATTAAATAAGAAACATATGCAAAATCAATAATTGGAGAATATTCTGTCTAAATAGTCCATTTGCATGTTTCCTCACAAGTTTTCAGGAAGAGCATACTCTGTGTGTTTCTCTTGGTAAGTACATTTTTACTAATATTAACACCTTAATATGATGTTTACAAGTGTTGTGGCACTAGGACTCCATTTTAGTGTTTATCCCAAAAAAGCTATTTTGATGTTTCTTAGGCTTAACATTGGATTCCATCTCACTTGTATTTTTCATTAGAGATCTGTTGTAGAAGATTTCTGTTCTTCTCAGGAAAGAGTGACACTGACATATAAGTCCAAGAGCATAACTCAGATCATCCCAGTCAGATTTCTCTATGCTTGGTCTAATCACCAAACTGTACTTGCTTAGCTTCCTTATAAAGTTCATTCATAAACTCACAAAGCATTTATTGAATATATGTGTGTCTACCCATGGCTCTAATGTAGCAAGTTTAGTCTATGAATTCAGCCCTGTTCTTAGGAGTTTGTAGGCTTATTGAATTAAGTAAGGGGCATAATATATTTTTTTAACATTTATTTAATGAATATAAATTTCCAAAGTACGATTTATGGATTACAATGGCTTCCCCTCCATACCGTCCCTCCCACCCACAACCCTCCCCTTTCCCACTCCCTCTCCCCTTCCATTCACATCAAGATTCATTTTCGATTATCTTAATATACAGAAGATCAGCTTAGTATATATTAAGTAAGGATTTCAACAGTTTGCTCCCACACAGAAACATAAAGTGAAAAATAATAGATGATTTTTTTTTAATGATGATGAAATCAGATCAGACCCATTGTCATGTTTAATCCCAGTGAGAGTCAAGTTGGGAGTTGATAATTTCCTTTTTTTTTTTACAGAAGATCAGTTTAGTATAAATTAAGTAAAGATTTCAACAGTTTGCACCCCCATAGAAACACAAAGTGAAATATATTGTTTGGGTACTCGTTATAGCATTAAATCTCAATACACAGCACATTAAGGACAGAGATCCTACATGAGGAGTAAGTGCACAGTGACTCCTGTTGTTGACTTTACCAATTGACACTCCTGTCTATGGCATCAGTAATCTCCCTATGCTCCAGTCATGAGTTTCCAAGGCTATGGAAGCCCTCTGAGTTCTCCAATTCTTATCTTGTTTAGACAAGGTCATAGTCAAAGTGGAGGTTCTCTCCTCCCTTCAGAGAAAGGTACCTCCTTCTTTGAAGACCTGTTCTTTCCACTGGGATCTCACTCACAGAGATCTTTTGCCAGAGTGTCTTGGCTTTCCATGCCTGAAATACTCTCATGGGCTTTTCAGCCAGATCCGAATGCCTTTAGGGCTAATTCTGAGGCCAGAGTGCTATTTAGGACATCTGCCATTCTATGAGTCTGCTGAGTATCTCACTTCCCATGTTGGATCACTCTCCCCTTTATTTATTCTATCGGTTAGTGTTAGCAGGTACTAGACTTGTTTATGTGCTCCCTTTGACTCTTAGTCCTTTCATTATGATCAATTGTGAACTGAAATTGATCACTTGGAATAGTGAGATGGCATTGGTACATGCCACCTTGATGGGATTGAATTGGAATCCCCTGGTATGTTTCCAACTCTACCATTTGGGGCAAGTCCAATTGAACATGTTCCAAATTATACATCTCTTCCCTCTCTTATTCCCACTCTTATGTTCAACAGGGATCACATTTCAGTCAATTTTCAACACTTAAGAATAACTGTGTATTAATTACAGAATTAAACCAGTCATATTAAGTAGAACAGACAAAAAAACTACTAAGAGGGATAATGTATTAAGTTGTTCATTAACAGTCAGGGCTATGCTGATCAAGTCACCGTTTCCCATAGTGTCCATTTCACTTCAGGAGGTTTCCTTTTTGATGTTCAGTCAGTTGTCACCGATCAGGGAGAACATATGGTATTTGTCCCTTTGGGACTGGCTTATTTCACTCAGCATGATGTGTTCCAGATTCCTCCATTTTGTTGCAAATGACTGGATTTCGTTGTTTCTTACTGCGGTATAGTATTCTAAAGAGTACATATCCCATAATTTCTTTATCCAGTCTACCGTTGATGAGCATTTAGGTTGGTTCCAGGTCTTGGCTATTGTGAATTGAGCTGCAATAAACATTAGGGTGCAGACCGCTTTTTTGTTTGCCAATTTAAATTCCTTTGGGTAAATTCCAAGGAGTGGGATGGCTGGGTCGAACGGTAGGGTTATCTTCAGGTTTCTGAGCAATCTCCAGACTGACTTCCAAAGTGGCTTGACCAGTTTGCATTCCCACCAACAGTGGGTTAGTGTCCCTTTTTCCCCACATCCTCGCCAACATCTATTGTTGGTAGATTTCTGTATGTTAGCCATTCTAACTGGGGTGAGGTGAAACCTCATTGTGGTTTTGATTTGCATTTCCCTGATTGCTAATGACCTTGAACATTTTTTCATGTGCCTATTGGCCATTTAGATGTCCTCTTTTGAAAAATGTCTATTGAGGTCCTTAGCCCATCTCTTAAGTGGGTTGTTTGTTTTGTTTTTGTGGAGTTTCTTGATCTCTTTGTAGATTCTGGTTATTAACCCTTTATCTGTTGCATAGTTTGCAAATATTTTTTCCCATTCTGTCGGTTGTCTCTTCACTCTCCTGACTGTTTCTTTTGCAGTACAGAAACTTCTCAATTTGATGCAATCCCAATAGTTGATTTTGGCTTTGACTGCCTGTGCCTCCCGGGTCTTTTCCAGAAATTCTTTGCCTGTGCCAATATCTTGAAGGGTTTCTCCAATGTTCTCTAGTAATGTGATGGTGTCAGGTCATAGATTTAGGTCTTTAATCCATGTTGAGTGGATTTTTGTGTAAGGTGTAAGGTAGGGGTCTTGATTCATGATTCTGCACGTGGAGATCCAATTTTCCCAGCACCATTTATTGAATAGACTGTCCTTGCTCCAGGAATTAGTTTTAGATCCTTGATCAAATATAAGTTGGCTGTAGATGTTTGGGTTGA